TTTGTAGTATCCGTTAATGACTTAGACTTAAATGTGGGAGGCATGACTGGGAAATTTGTAGACAACATAAAAATTGGTTGGATTTGATAATGAAAAGAATGTCAACTGCAGTGTAATATCAAAGGTTTGGTTGAGTGTGACAAACGGAGTTCAATCCAGAGAAGTGTGAAGCTGCGCAGTTGGGGAAGCCAGCAAAGAAGGGATTACACAATAAATGGTGGGGTGGGGGCGGTGGTATTGAAAGGGACATGACAAGTGGGAGATTTAGGAATGCATGTCTACAGGTACCTGAAGGCGGCAGGACCGGTAGGTGAAGTGATAATGAAGGCATATGAGATATTTTCTGTCATTAGGTGTGCTAAATACAAAACGAAAAATGTAAAACTGGAACTACATTAGACACGGGTTGGGCAACAGCTGGAGATTTGTGTACAGTTCTGCTCACCACATTACAGGAAGGAAATAATTACACTGGAGGCAGCCAGAAGTATCATGCCACAGATTGAATCTTTCAACCATGAGGAAAGATTGGATAAGCGATGGCTTTTCTTTACTTTGAGTAGAAGAGGCTGAGGGGTGACTTAATTGAACGTATAAAGTAATGAGGAGCTTGGATAGAGTGAACAATGAAGACTTGTTTCCTCTACTGGAGAGGTCAGTTACTGAGTGTGCAGATTTTAAATGTTTGGTAGAAGGATTAAATAGGACATAACAAAAGGTTTTTCCTCCCAGAGGTGGGTGGTAGATGTCTGGAACTTGTTGTCAAGTTTGATGGTTGAAATGGAAACCCATAGCGTATTTAAAAGGAACCTGGATCTGCACCTGAAGCACTTTAACCGCAAGGCTATGGACCAGGTACTGGAAAGTAGAATTAGAATAGGTGACTAGTTTATTCAGCTGCACTGATGTAAGGAGCGAAATGGCCTTCTCCTGGGCTGTAACTTTTCTATGGTTCTATGGATCTAACGTGTTTGAATTATTTGAAGATCTAACTAAGATGGTTCATAAGGCAATGTCGCAGATGCTGTATACATGGACTATGGAAGGCATTCAAAAGAGCGCCATGCAGGAGGCTTACTTATTAAGAAGACAGAAGGTAGAGGAGTTGGCAGGATGGATATCAAAATGGCTCAGTGACAGGGAGCAAAGAGTGGTGATGGATGGAGGTTTTTTAGACTGTGAAGGAGTTTACGCAAGTGTCCCCAATTTTTATTAAAAATATAGGTAGTCTCGGGTAAACTACATTAATATTTTCAAATGATAGAAAAATTGGGAAAGTGGGAGATTGTGATAAGGCTAAAGGAGACCAAACAGGGTGGTAAAATGGGCAGAAGCACAGCAGATGACTCAATGTGGAGAAATGTGAAGTGATGTACTTTGGAGGATCAAAGTAGAAAGACAGTCTCCTAAAAATGACTTGGTTTTGAAAAGTGTAGATTAGCAGAATGATCTTACTATCTAAACATCAAAATCCTTAAAGGCAGGGGAAGTTTGAGATAATTTACTAGAGTTTTTTTGAGATAATGAAATGATTGTAAGTAAGGAACAAGTATTCTGGCTTATAAGTGGGCCAATACTAGAGGTCAATAATTCAAAATCACTGGAAAGAGATCAAGAGGAGAGATGAGGGTATTTTTTTCAGTGAGAGAGTTGTCAGGATCTGCAACAGTCCAGCTGAAAGGGTAATGCAATCTGTAAGTGGGTCAAGTAGGCATTTCAGGAGAAGTAATATGTGAGAAGGAATTCTTGTTAAGATATGTGGTCGTAACAAGGGGTTAAAAGGTTAAACTAATTATTTCCCTATAATTAAGAGCTTAAAATGATTAACAATCTTCAAGATACAGTTCACAGACATAAGAGAATCCCTAATTAGAGGCATACAGCAAAAGTCTCAGGGTAACACATTTTTTTCAATAAACTGTCACAAAGGTCACCATAGTGTAATATTTTATAAGATGATTATTAATAGCCCTAAAACACAGTCAACTGAAAATATTCAAAGGTGGCCCAGCTGAAAACAACAATATAATCTTAAACACAGGCACATCACTCAAGAAAATTGTCCATCATGAGACCTCGCAACAGGACTTCTTTAGAACTGATGAGGGGTAGACTTTACCTGGAAATGAACAGTTATGTGTTTCCTTAAAAAGCTAAGAAGCCTGAATCTAATTAGAAGTTAAGATGAATGCTACTTTACTAATTGATGAATATTCTATTTAATTGACCTTATTATATCAATACTCATATTTCAAAATAGATGGTCTTTTGAAACGCAATTACATTTTCTCTCTTTTCCTAAAATGTTTTAGCATTGTCATTGACTGTTTCCATCACACCATAGATTATATTTTTAGTTATAGCATCATAGAGTCATACAACATGAAAACAGACCTTTCGGTCCAACTAGTCCATGCTGACCATAATCCCAGTCTAAATTGGCCCCACCTGCATGTGCTTGACCCACATCCCTCCAAACATCTCTTAATGTTGTTCCTACCTAAATGGGTTTTAAATGTTTTAACTGTGCCTTAATCGATCACTTCCTCTGGAAGTTCATTCCACACACGTAAAACAAAATTTGTAAAACAAAATTGTTCCTCATGTCTTTTTTACATCTTTCTCCTCTCACCTAATAAATATGTCCCTTAGTCTTGAAATCCTCCACCGTAGGGAAAAGACATCTGCCATTCACCTTATCTATACCCGTCATGATTTTATAAACTTCTATAATGTCACATCTCAACTTTGTACGCTCCAGTGAACAAAGCCCCAGCCTATCCAGCCTCTCCCTATAACTCAAACCCTCCATTTCTGGCAGCATCTTGGTAAATCTCCCCTGAACCTTCTCCAGCTTAATAATATTTTTCCTGCAACAGGGAGTCCAAAACTTGACACAGTACTCCAGAAGAGGCCTTACCAACGTACTGTACAACCTCAACATGTCCCAACTCCTATGCTCAAAAGACTGAGCAATGAAGGCAAGCATAATAAACACTGTCTTAAGCATCCTATATATCTGTGAAGCAAACTTCAAACAGTTATGTAACTTAGCCCCTAGGTCTCCCTGTTCTACAATACTACCCAAGGCCCTACCTTTAATTTTAGAAGTCTTGCCTTTGTTTATATACAGAATCCCTACAGTGTGCAAACAGGCCATTTGGCCCAACAAGGCCATGCCAACTGTCGAAAGAACATCCCACCCAGACTTATCCCCCTCCCCTATCCCTGCATTTCCCATGCCTAACTTACACAACCTTGGACACTATAAGGCAATTTAGCATGGGTAATCCACCTAATCTGCACATCTTTGGACTGCGGGAGGAAACCCACACAGATGCAGAGAGAATGCGCAAACTCCACACAGGCAGTTGCCTGAGGCTGGAATTGAACCCAGGTCCCTGGCGCTGTGAGGCAGCTGTGCTAACCACTGTGCCACCCCAATACCAAATCGCAATACCTCACATTCATCAAAATTAAACTTCATCTGCCATTCTTCAGTCCATTAATGGAATTGATCAAGATCTCTTTGTAATCTTAGATAACCTTCTTCACTGTCCACTATACCACCAATTTTGGTTCATCCACAAACTTACTAACCATGCCTTCTATATTCTCATCTAAATTATTTATATAAATGGCAAACAAAAGTGGACTCAGCACTGATCCATGTGGAACACTATTGGTAAAAGGCCTCAAATCCGAAAAACAACCCTCCACCGTCAGCTCTGATGAAGAGTCATGTAGACTTGAAATGTTAGCTTGCTCTCTCCATGGTTACTGCCTGACTCTCTGTTTTCTTTTTGTTTTCTTCCACCATTACTGTCTGTCTCCTGCCATTAAGCCAACTTTGTATCCAGTTGGCAGACTCACACTGAATCCTATGTGGTCTAACTTTACCATTATTTGATGACTATCTACATCATACAGAACTTATATTGTCTTATAGTCTTTTGTCCAACTAACTTGTGAAAATGACTTCATAGGCTTTTTGGATGTGGTTTACATTACTGAGGAGTTATATCTAGACTCTAATAATATCTGGGATATTACAAACTGCCTGAAACCTGTTAAAAAGATGCTCAGAGGTCAATAATAATCTCAGTTGGCTCCTTTCCCCAGGTGAGAGATAAATCAGTCTTTCAGACTCACTTAGCATCTTTAGCACCTGTCTTTCTCAATCTATTCATTACAGCAATCATCTGAGAGGTATGCCAGATCTGGCACTGCACCAAAAAGGGCCTAGGATTATTAGAATCTACCAGGTTTACAGGGTTACAGAGAAAAATTAGAAGTATGGGACTAGGAACAACTCTTCTTTCAAAAAGCATATACAAGAAAGGTGGGTCGCCTTGCATCCTTTTGTACTGTAAACCTCTGCTAAATTGCTAAAATGCTAAAATTAATACAACAATTGTGCAAGAGAACAGATGCAATGCTGAGAAGATAGCAACTGAGCAGTGTTTCAAAATGGGCGGCAGATATCTGAGAAAATAAACATTCGGAAAATATCTTATAAAAGTAAAGAATGCTAAGCTAGCTATTTTAAATGATATTGTTTCTTTCTTCTTAAAATTAATTTTATCCTGCCTGACAAAACATGTGCTATTCTTTAAGATTTAATTTTACGAACAGAGGTATGATAATTCTTAAAAGTACTTATTTGTCATTCAGAATTTATCCTTTACACAACTAAGGGCTGAATCTTAGATTTTTTTCAGCTGTCAATTCTGTTGAGTTTGATGGAAGGTTTCTCTCTCTGGAGCATTTTCTTAGTTTATTTGAATGAGCTCATCTCATTATCTACCTAGTCATCCCTATCATCTGATTCTAACCCAATCCTAAAACATGTTATTCCCAGAACAACTCGTTATTGTTGGAATATTCCAGACTGAACTAACATCCCAACTGGTAGAGCAGTCTTTCAAAGGCAATTGTGCATCAAGACAGTACAGTTAACCTGGATCTTCCCTGAAAGGCTCCTGATGTTTGCTGTGGACATGGCAGTGAAGGGAAAGTTGAAACTTTGTGGGCAGGAACCTGGAGGTCGAAGTGAAAGGAATGTGGCCAAAGAGAAACATCCTCTTCCCCCAGGATCAGTCGTGGAGGCCAGGACATCAAATCATGTCACCTGGGCCGCAGTTACCAGCTGGGTCAGTGCACTCTCAGCCATCCAGCAGAACGTGTAGTATTGTAGGAGGACGGTCAATCATCTTTTCAACCTTACTGGTGTAAATGGCATCATCCCCTCTCTGATCCCTCATACTCATTCAATGTCTGCTACACTTTATGCTCTCCCACTCTCATTATTACATACAACATCTCCTCTCATACTCTCTTACCCACCCCAACCACCAGTACCACTAACTAGCCCTCTGCACTGGCTACTCACTTGTTCATAATACATCCCCACCTGCATCAACACTAACAGCTGTGCTGTCCACTTTCATCTATCTCTCATCCCATTAGTGTTTGGTTGTTCAACTGTGATTGGGTTTATAGTACATCACATATATTAGCGATTGCTTGGTGCTGTGATCTGAATGGGTCCTTTTGGTATGTGAGAAACTGAACTCTCTATGACTACCAGTGACCTTTTATCTCTCAACTAGAACAGTATCGAGATACTGAAATTATTTTTTAAACCTTTCTTTCCCATATTTTCTAGTGATTGTTTTTATCTCTCAGTTATGATATTTCAGAATCTATATCCATGATTATCTTGAAAAATCTTAATTAAAACCTACTTGTAATATTATGACTGACTGATTAGAGAAATTTTAAGAGAAACAAATAATTGGTGGGAAATGTTCTTATCTTTAGGATAGGCAAAGAATGTTGCACATTGAATCTTACTGAGGAAACAAATAGTAGGAACTGCAGATGCTGGAGAATCTGAGATAACAAGGTGTAGAACTGGATAAACACAGCAGGCCAAGCAGCATCATAGGAGCAGGAAGGCTGACGTTTCGGGCCTAGACCCTTCATCAGA